AAGTGGTGTCAAACTCTAACTCTTCACTCCCGTTAAACCCATTGAAACAAAATTCTACCAAGTTAGCAATAGCAAAAACCCCACAGTCAACCCCGTTTTTCTGTTGTTGCACATTTGGTAATACTGTTTTTTAAAACTTTTCTATTTTCCCCATATGATGATGGTGGTGGAGGTTTTTACATATTATGCATATTTAGCACGAGTCTTGACGAAGTTATGTCCCCTTAGTACGGGTACGGGAGGAAACAAAACACCCGCGATCCTCGCCCGCTATCACAACAAAGTCAGAATTTCATGTGAAATATGTTGTTTATTTCAACGAAACTTACATAATTATCAACAGTAAGGTATTTTCTTCTATATATCTGAAAATAACATGTTATTTTTCCCTAAATTTCTAGTTATATGTGAAAAACCGTGATTTTCACGGTTGACTGCGGCGTACAAGTTTTACCCCCTTGAAAAACACATTATCGTCGATTTCTAAATTATTAGATAATAAATAAACATTTTTGTAATTGTCACATTTAGAAAATAATGTTTGAAAATATCCTATATTTTTATAAAAATTATAAACTATCGCGTTAATGAGATATAAAAATATCTTTATATTCCCGGTACGGGTTTCAGTCCGGGTCCGGGAACGGGGTACAAGATTTACCTACCACCGATTACTTCTAACGGATTTTAATAATAATTCTTTGTACCAATGAAGTAGCCTCAGTATGTGTTTGACTTACACACTAGAGCTACATGTTATCGAAAATGAGTGCCAAAAAAATGAAACATGATTACATAAAGTGATCTGGTCAAGCTTGTGAAACTAATGTCTGTGATTCACTATGCATAACACAGATACAAATAATCCGTACCATAAATTCAAGCCGTATCCGTTTTGGCTTAATTTCAAGAAAGATGTCTGCTCTCGAGAGGCAAGCTTTGAAGTCCAAGATTGGTGGCTTACCGCCAATGGCTCCACCCGGAGTTGGGTACGAACATTTTTGACTGACAAGTTTGTCATGATGTATTTTTCATAAAATCAAAATGTAGCAGTTTTAAGTAAAACACAACAACGAAACCCATATGACATGTGTGGATACCGGGCACCTGTCAGTGTCATTTCAATCATTTCAAAAGTAACAATAACTTCACTGAATTGACCAGAATGACCCTTTGTCGATTGAGTGTTATGACTCTTTGCAGTGGCGGATCATGAGGTTTTTGGGGGGCTTCAGGAACTCCCCCCCCCCCTCCCTCAGCCTGAGAATTTTCTTTAAAAATTCATGTAATCATGTATTTTCACAATTTTCCTCAATTTCCCCCCAGCTAGGTTTCAATGACTTTCTCAACGTTTGAGTAGGTCTACTAGCTTATGGTTGTATTTATGTAACAGGAAAGAGAATAGTTTGCTTCCACCGCGGACCGAATCCTCAATCTCCAGGTTCCTAGTCATACGTATACTCTACCACTGAGCTAAAGAGAAATTCCTTCGAGCTCAAAGCTAAAAGAATAGTGTTCTTCCACCGGGAATCGAACCCTCGATCTCCAGGTTTCTAGTCGGATGCTCTAATACTGAGCCAAAGGGTAATTCACTCTAGCTCAAAGCTAAAAGGTGACCGTAATTCTATGTACAATTAAGATCTGCCACACTTATAAATTATTAGTCAAACATCAGAGATTCTTATTTTTCTGCTTCTTTTTTTTTTTACGATGGAGTTGGACAGGTAATTTTTTATCAATGCATCTGATGTGAGTTAAGAATGAAAAACAAAATATATACATGTATTGACACTGGTATAATATTATCTGGATACCATATTAGTAAAGTTAAATTTACACAAGTTGGTTCATGGTTTCACATGGCACTACTATCGTATGACAGGATGCTGATATAACCAATTATAATGAAAATAAATATAACATTTATTTAAACATATGCAAACCGAAGATATTTGTCATCACATAAACATTCAATAAAAAGGCAAAAGTGTAAAATATACAGAGAAAATCTACTATGGCACAGAAATTCATAAATTAGGTTTATTAAACTGTGTTGACAGGCATGTAGACAACGGTTGACCCACACTTTCATGTTGGCCAAATAATAATTGGCCATGAAAAAACTTACTCACATTCCAACATCATCAGCCGAAAATAAAACTTCAGAAGTTAATCAGTCTGAAAATATACTTATTATCATATGGGTTGCCTTCAACTCATAACAAATAATTTACTAAACACATCACTCACGCTGTAAACAATTTGTTTAAAATCATTAAAAGAAATGGTTGTTCGTCTCATGTATTCAATGATTGGGCTAAGTTTGATATTTTTGGAGGCAAACCCATTTAAAAAGGGGAGAGTACTGAGACAGATTTTAATTGTACATAGGAACAGGTCTACAGTTTTCTAGCTTCGAGCTAGAGGGAATTTCCCAAAAGTTTAGCACAATCAGCAGAGAGACGGACTTGGAAGCTTGCTCATAGGGTTGGTAGCTATAGTTTGATTCCCTTGGAGGCCTACAACTCTCTTTCCTGTTCCAATATGTTTAAAAAATATTTAATGAAACTCCATGTATACTTTTTCATTATATTTTATGATAGTGATCTGACTTATTTTGTCTGTTGTAGAGGAGCATCCAAACGACACTTGCTGAGGAAGAAAGACTACACTGCAGTACACTGGGATAAATACTTTGATCAGAAACATGATGTCAAAGTTGGCGAAAATGTATCTTTAGATATCAAGTCAAGTCAATTAAAATGTATTTATAAGTCGGTACTTAGTTTAACATGATAACACAAGCCTGTTAAAGGCTTCTACAGCCTACTATAAAGCATGAAAATCAGAAAAATGCTGTAACATATATAAAATACATGCATAAATAAAGTGTTCAATTTTTATAAGCGAGAATGGAAGTATAAGCCTGTGTGTGTTTCCAGAATATATGCTATAAATTATGGTATGTTTATATACATGTTTAACTCATTTACCCCTACAATTTTAAACTGGACTTGCCTAGTCTTTGATTTGGTATTAAGGTCAAAATGTGACTTCAGGGAGGAATGGGTTAATGTCTGAGTAGTACAGATATCATATATAGAGATAATTATAGCAAGTTGGGGGGGGGGGTATACTGGAATCACTCTGTCTGGATGTCTGCATGTTTGCATGAATGATCGGTATCCTATGTAGTTGTGCACCGGCATTTAAATTTGGGATTTCGACCCTTTTTGATGGAGTTATACCCCCTTGTGCGAAATACTTGTTCGCGCAACTCCTCCTTAACAAAAAGGTGGATTTCATTGAAACTTTGCATGAATGATTGGTATCTTATGTTGTTGTGCACCGTTGTTGGATTTCGACCCTTTATGATGGAGTTATGCCCCTTTGTTCGAAATACTTGGTTATTTTTTTGGTATTCTATTTTTTTGTTTTTAATAAAATAGTGATTAACTCATTACTGGTGGGAGACTATATTGCTTTGCATTAGTAAGCCTTTAGCTTACAGCTCTGGTTTAAATAGGAGCGGGGTTATTAGTTAGTCTTTGGCTTGCAGTTCTAGTTTGCTGCTGTAAACTGATGAATAAGGAGTTTATCTGCTTTTTCTTACAGTTCAGTAGAAATGCTAAAAAAATGCAATTCCATTATAGTTATCCTGTACTCAGCCTTCCCCCTATTTTGAGTCCGAAATAATTTGTTGACCTCTAGCATGCACATGCTTATTGTGGTAATTCATGTGCATTGTAATCTTTTAAGATTTGTTACAAAACCTTGACATGTGACACAAGACATTCCGATTGTATGAGTGTGGGACAACTGGACCAGTTCTTCTCTTTTTACACGGAGGTGGATTTTCTGCCCTGTCATGGTCATTGGTGTCGGTAAGTTTACTTGCTTGGATCATACCTGACTTCATTCTGGGGTTTTCTGGGATGTTGCAGGGTCTAACAAGACTCATTCAAATTAAAACTATGCAAAATAAATAAAAATAAAAAATCATGCTTTTTGAAGTCAACTTCAATTAATGAACTAGTTACACATATTAGGTACCGTAACCGCTACATATTTTCCAAATTGACGTCAGCAGGAAAACATGCAAAAGATTGATGCTGAAAAAGAAGCGTTATATATTATTAACATTGTTGTGCCTCATATGACCTTAAATCAAAACAAAAGTTTCAATCTGTCTGTTCTTCTTCTATTATTATGTTCAATGTCTTGATTAGCATCAGGTCTGCTGTCCAAATCAGCCAGAAAAGCCCAATGCATGAACTGTTGTTTGTAAAAATTTGTTGCTGTGTTCCAGTCCACGCTGTGTCAGTTGGTGACCTGTCGGTGTGCTGCTTTGGATCTCAGAGGACACGGTAAATCTTCTTAATTAGTCCAGGCAATACTGTGCAAAGCCTGATTATCTCAGGATATTTAACAAAATTTTCAAATTTGTTTGGAAAAAAAAACAATAATAAAAATATATAATTTCTAGTTATTTCAAATATTAGGTATTTTCTCATTTTCATGTTGTGGTTTATAATGTCATTAATATTGTACAGCCTGTAAGAAACCAACATGATATTGTATAACAACTTTTACATTATCTGTCTCTAGATCTAGAGCTGCTGGGGAAAAGAAAACTAGGAAAATATATTAAACTTTGGGAAACACTTCATTTATACATAAACATTTTATAGAATTCATACCATTTTTACACTGGAGACATTAATCTATGACTTCTGTGTTGATGTTTTCATGAACTAGGTGATACAGCTTCCACAGATGACAGCGACCTCTGTGCAGAAACCCTGTCCAGGTACTACTAATAATTTTAAAAATATTTTCATTTTCAGTGTAAAATGTGTTCATACTATCATGAACCATTGTTATATGGCCTAGCAGCTACGGTTCCCCCAGCTAGTTGTGCTTGTACCTATATGCTATAAGCAATGGAGTTTTGGTTTATTCCTGGTCTCGTGCACCGTAAAACTAGTTTGAGTGAAACTTTGATGTGTCATAAACCCCTTTAGTTAAGCCAGATTTAAGTCCTGTCTCATTACATGAACTATTATAACTTGACACAAATGCGTCAAACTCATGTCATGTGTTGAATACACCTCCTATAACTCAAACAGGTTGTCCGGTCCGGTCAAGTCCCATTGGTTTCCCTGTATATACTAAAATAGCTTGATCTGTCAAGTACTTTTAAGTAAAAAAAACTCCCGACTGTAAAACTTTGTTTTGTTTTGAAATTTTTCCAGAATTAAAAACAGCAATTAAGAAACCCCTCTTTGGTTGTTTAGGAGTTTGTGTCCTATAAACTTTGACAGAGTCCTTGGTAAATTTCTCTTTATGTATGGAAGATATAATTAACATAACCATTGATAGGGATATCTTTAGGACGCTCTCAATGTTCTTCAGATATTCACAAAACTGATATTTTTTACAGTGATGTTGGTGATGTTGTGAAGTCCTTATATGGAGATGAGCCACCACCTATTATCCTGATTGGTCACAGGTAAGACCATGGTCTTTAGACGCATGCTTTGTTACGTATCTGTCAGCTTAGTGTTAAGGTATGACTTCTTAAATAGAAATTGTTACCAAATCGGATCATTACTATTTTTAAAATGATAATAATACACATTTGCAAATTGTAATGAAATAATACTAAGCTAGTATCAAATGTTTGATTTGATTTAACATTTACAAACTATTTGATGGATAACAGCCTCCACTGTCACTCAGTTCACTGACTGTGTACTTCTTCCTGTGTGTGGTTCTCACTGACCAGACTATTATCTATACAGTGCAAATATCACTGTTAAGATTTTGTAAACTAAATTCAGTAACAATGCTAGTTAAGGATTATCATTAGCCCTGGTTCTGTAAAAAAACATTTCCACATTGAGTGGCAGTTGGTTATCATATTTAGCTCACATGAATAAGAAAAAATTCAAAACAAAGGTAGTCGAACATTAATTGCAATGTGATAAAGGTGACTATTATCACACTGCTGGGTATATTTATTCAGTGTTTATCTATAATAGTAATGGCATAATTGACTCATTCACCCCTAAAATTTCATAATGAACTATTCCAACCTTTGAATTGGAAGAGTTCAAATGTGTCTTCAGGGGTGAATGAGTTAAGGTAGCATTTTGTTATTAATAGAGTACTGGAATGACTTGTTATGTTATATGTGTTTCAGTATGGGAGGAGCTATCGCTGTACATACTGCAGAGAGAAAGCTTATACCGTCATTAATTGGTCTGGTTGTGATTGATGTTGTTGAGGGTAAGTCATTGAATAATCCTTACCTCTAAATTGTCAAGCAAAATGAAGACATCTTCTTCCAAATTATTTGTTTACCTTTAAAGATCGGTTACAAAGGCGTTTTATTCGATTTTGTTCCCCACAAGTAATATTGCAGGAGAATATAGGTTTACACTATCTGTCTGTCGTTCCATCAGTGAGTACATCAGTTTGTCTGGGGCAAATTTCATGTACTCTGCAACTGCAAAATTTTGTATGCGAGTACCTCTTTATAGTTCATCCTCGATTCTCCAGGGGTTACATACACTTTCGCTTTCTCTACCCCTGTTTCATTTCATGTACATCAAAGTATCCAACTATACTGTAAAATCATTTATTTTCATGGGGTTAAAATTTCGTGGTTTTCATATACTAGCCTGTTTCAAGGACATGATATTTCGCTGATTTCTGATTTCCCCCGATCTATATCGTACCAAATTTATGTTTTCGTGGGGATACAATTTTGTGGATTTTTGTTATCCACAAAATAAACGAAATCTAATGTCCCATGAAAATTTATAATTTTACAGTAGTCTTCCCATCTCATCCACAAGGTGGCGCACACTGAACCTTCGATTTAGCTGTGACATAACCCAGGGGTGTAGAGAGCGAAAGTGAGCATAACCCCTGGAGTGTGGAGGATGAATATTAATAGAATCTATCGCTACTGGTTGTGTAAGATAGAGAATCTCAACCCGAGGACTAAGATTTTTTGTCCAGAACGAGGCTTGCCGTCAATCACTCTGATTGAATTGTGATTGTGTTTCATCAGAAGCAGTTCATTATTGTTAAGATGTGAAAAAGGTTTTTCTCAGCGGCAAGCCTTATGTAGTTGCACTGTCAGAAACTATTATTGCACCTCTTAAGTGAAGTAGCAGGTGCTGTTATAACGGTTATCACTTGTAAAGTCTTTCTTGACTGTTCTTTTTGAAAGCAATTAGAACAAAAAGAAGAAAACCCGGGCTGGCTAGCTAGCAGGCAATTTGTTGATGGATTGTTGACGTGACGTCATTGTATTGTTGAAGTGACGTCATGCCATTGTTATGAATAGGGGAATCCCCCCGTCTCAACCCTAGGGCGGAGACAGATAAATCTAGCACCGGCAAAACGGGAGATAAATCTGTCAGGTGTGGGAGCGAAAGAGAGCGTTACCCATGGAGTATCGAGGATGACTGAAATTGAGTCTTATGTACAAATATTTACAGAGTTGCAATATTTTGTCTTGTTAAATTGGATTTTCAGTTTCGTTTGATTTCTGCTGTCATGCAATTAAGTCACTCTGATTGAATTGTGATTGTGTTTCATCAGAAGCAGTTCATTATTGTTAAGATGTGAAAAAGGTTTTTCTCAGCGGCAAGCCTTATGTAGTTGCACTGTCAGAAACTATTATTGCACCTCTTAAGTGAAGTAGCAGGTGTTGTTATAACGGTTATCACTTGTAAAGTCTTTCTTGACTGTTAGTTTTGTAAGCAGTTAGAACAAAAAGAAGAAAACCTGGGCAGGCTAGCTAACCCTTTCTCATTGGTGGTGGGGCTGTGAGTAAAATCATAATTTGTTGGTGGACTGTTATTTTCATTTCCATGGGCGGGTTGTACTTTTGAAAGTAGAATGGAATATTATATATGCTTTGAATAAAAGATGATAAATAATTTATGTATGGGGTTTTGATATTTAATTATCTAGGTTAACCACAAAAGTAACTAGATTTGATGCAGATCAAAACACGGGATTTCCAACAGGAAAATGATCAAAGATATGTTCTCGAACTGACGACCGCTTTTAAATGTTTCTCTTCGCTTCCCTTTGCTTCCCTTCTCTGACAAACCTATTTTGTAGGTTTCACTTGGTGTATTGGCCTGCATCACTTACTGGTCACCGAAAACAAACATTTAAACATACAGTGAGTTAATTGTTCCCGGACATAGTGAAGCTGACTATCATGCCTAGTAAGTTTGGAAGATGTACCTTGTTTGTGGATAAGGGCAATAAGACCACAGTAAGGAGACAGTCTCTACGTAGTTTGAATGTTCTGTAACGGGTTATTGCCCTTTGAACGTGTGCTAGTCTACAGTAGCTGACTGAGTAGTGTAGTGGGGGATTCCCAGAGTGCTGTTGTATAGGAATGTAGTTCGTAAATGCCATCATATGGTCCGTCCACTATGTACGTCAGGACGATTAATTGAAACTATGTTTGTTTCTCTATCGGTTGGGTTTGCCACGCCAAAGAAAGGTGATGTTTACCCACCGCAGGAGAGGTGTAAACTGTCCACATTTTTATTAAGATTGATATAAATCAAAGTACTGAGAGTACTGAAAGCACTTGATAATCGCACAAAAATGACAAATGGAAATCCCTAATAACAAAGTGGTATATCTTCGTCATTTTTGATGCTATGACCTTGACACTTTGGAAATACCTTGAATAGACCTTGCTCTTTAATATTTAAAAACAAAATGAACTGATTTTATGATTTTTATTTTTGACCCCATAACGACGCTTTGAACTTGAAATTCTCTGATAACATAACACGGAAAAAAGTTAGCCCTGACTAAGCTCTACCAGAAGTTTGAAGCGTTCATGCAGTACAACGAAAGCTTTCGAAGTTATCGTCGTTCGAGAAACGTTTTTAAAAAACTCCATTTTTAGATCTGTGACCTTGACCTTTGACATTATGATCATGAATTTGTTCGCAATACCATGTGTTTCTTGTCCTCTAATACGTACTGAAATATGAACGTTGTATCTTTATTCGTACTTGAGATAGAGTGTCGACAAGATGATTTGACCCCTGTGGCCTTAAATGTAGGTCAAGGACAACGATAACCCAAAACTTTTATAGGGAAGCCTACATACTATGAATGTACCAATTATCAACTCTGTATGTGTCTGAATGAAGGAGAAGAAACGTTTTGAGGAAAATGCTGGAAATTTTGAATTTTGGCGGGAAAACGAATTTTTCAAAGTGGCATATCTTTGTCATTTTTGAAGCTATGACTTTGAAATTTTTCACGTATACCTTCATTAGAACATGCCCTTTAAGATGAAATAAAAATATAACTCAATTTGAGATTTTTATTTTTGACCTATATTTGACCCCATAGCGAGGCTTTTAACTTGACATATTCTCTGAAAGCATGTAATGGGGAAAAGTTAGCCCCGACCAAGATCTACAAGATCCACATAACGTTCATGCAGAACAACGAACGCTTATGAAGTTATGATCGTTTAGGTCTGTGACCTTGACCTTTGATATTATGATCATGAATTTGTTCGCACTATGTTTCAGTTGTACGCTACCACATACTGAAATATGAACGTAACATCTCTGTTTGTTCTTGAGATAGAGTGTCCACAAGAATTCTGGAAATAAGAATAATAATAAGAAAAAACATAACAATAACAATAGGTATTTCCATCCGAAATGGAAATCCCTAATAATCTGCACTGTAAAAAGTATATGTATTACATATTGCAACTGGCCACCATATAGGCCTACCAGGATGTAGGTCAGGGGAGGTAACTGGTAACTGGTACTGTAGGCATTGAACAGACCATGGGGTTGATTGACTACAGTTTACCTATCATTCTATCATGCAGTTAAAGGTAGAAGAAATGTACTATAAAATTTGAAAAAAGAATCAACAATACTTATATTCATTTGTTATAGGAAATGCAATATTAAAATTAGATCAACTTGATTTGAAAGGAAAATTTGATCTTCTTTGTGACAGCGAACCACTCTTGATCTGAATTCTACATTATATTTATCATCAGATACTTTGGTAAAATATATTAAACATAGGGCAGCAATAATAACGAATTGTAATATGCTTTATATTTGATTGATCACTAAATGGTTAATATATATATGATTAAAAAAGTAAAATATAAATATGCATGGCACATGGGTTCTATGTGAGCTTAAAAATACTGCAGGTTCTGTATACGGAATGAAATTAAAAAACACAGGTGGTGAATGTCGGTAGAAATTTGCCTTTATGTAAAAGTGCTAGCCTAGTGGGAGTGGAAGAGGGGGTTGTCGTTTTTTTTTTTTTTAACAACCCTGAGCTGTTCCAGGTACATAAGGGTGAGACAGCATGTAGGAACCATCCTCGATACTCCAGGGGTAACACTCACTTTCGCTCCCTGCACCCCTGGGATATGTCATAGAAAAATGAAGGCACAAAGGTAGCTGTTTGGTTGGTCTCAGGTAAAGAAACCTGACCAATCGCCAGGCTGATACCTGTCCTTTGAAGATTACAGAGGAGCAACACCCGATTTCAATGACATTCAAATGTTACCGTTATGTGATCTCGAGATTCTTTGATGAACATCAAAGGATCAAACTAGTCTTCTTGTCTCTCGTGATTCTTTGATGAACATCAAAGGATCAAACTAGTCTTCTTGTCTGGTCAATAAGGTGTCGCACACTGAGCCTTCAATTTTACTATGTCATATTCCAGGGGTGTAGAGAGCGTAAGTAAGCGTAACCCCTGGATTATCGAGGATGGTAGGGACAGACTTTCTATTACCCACAACACATTTTTTTAACCATTGTGTCCTATAAAAGTCCTTGTGTAAAAAGATTGTTTTGTTGAACAGGAACTGCTATGGAGTCCTTGAACAGTATGCAGAGTTTTCTGCGTGGAAGACCTTCCATGTTTAAATCCCTAGAGCACGCCATTGAGTGGGGGTTTGTACACACACACGTACTTGTAATTTTAAAGAGACACTAGTGAAATAAAACACCACTGGTGATATATGTTCTGGAATATGGTCTTACCATATCTCCCATCTCCCACAAAATGTACAGTGCACTTATCTAAACATCATAGTCAGATATGGTGTTTTTTATGAGTGGTTGCAATCACATTGAATTGATTAACTCTTTGACAATAATTAAGAATTGGTAAATTACTTGTATGTGAATTATTAATGCTCTCTTGTATAATTGCAAAAAGAGTGTTTTTTTCTTCAATTCCTTTTTATTCGAACTTCACTAAAACCCAACATTGATATTGTAGTGTTCGCAGTGGACAAATCAGAAATCTGGAATCTGCCAAAGTGTCTATGGTTGGACAAGTAAAACGGTAAGAGCTGTAGACAAAGAATTGTTTTAAGGTAGTCAGACCTGTCTGTAGGAAATGCATGGGGAACCAGTAAAAAACAGTTGCTTAAGACAGGTGGTCGCTGAAAACAGGCGAGATCAAGGGGTTAATATCATATAGAGTTTAGTAATTGATCTGCATCTTCATTCTTTCAACTTATTATCACAATTTTTCATTTCCCAAACATTATGTGGAGGGAAATTGAAATATAAATTTCTGTTTTAAAAATTAATTTAAACTTTTTTTAATGCTTTGATTAGTAGGTCGTCATAGTGGGCAATGGACTACATAAAATTTGTTGCATTTAACTCATTCACCCCTGAAGACACATTTGAACTCTTCCAATTCAATGGTTGGAATAGTTCATTATGAAATTTCAGGGGCGAATGAGTTAAAAGTACTTTCCCTGTATATTCTGCAGACTCGACACTCAGGAAACTGCTACATCAGAAATGGATCACATTTCTGGGTCAGTGGTAAATGCATCAGGGCCAAGGGTTGGTGATGCTATACAGGAGGAGGACGAGGAGGAGGAGGGAGAAAGCATATCCTCACCAGAATCTCAACAGCCAAGCAGCTCAGATCATTTCAAAACACCCAAACCAACAGTGAGTGTTCCTGGTAGGACTACGGTAGTCCTATTGGAGCAGTTTATCTAGTCTTTTTTCTGTACATTTCAGTTACCCTGGTTATATAATCTGAATATCTCTTTTTGTAACTAGTCCGAATTGGCTGCAAGTTTGAATATTTCAATCAAGGGAAATGAAAGCATGGCATATAAGGCTATGTAAAAAAGAGTTTGATTTGTTAGAACTAGGCAATTAGTCAGGGCTTGGTGAAGTACTTAACATTTTTAGATGGGTGTTTATTTTCTTAATATGATACATTTTTTTCTGTTCTGATATCTTTATCATGCTCGGTCTTAACTATAAATTCTTAGATTGGTTTGTATTTTGTACATAACATTCAAAATCGTGTGTAAAACTTTCAAAAAGATTTTCACTGGCAAATATTAAGTGCTTGAAATATGTTGTATGGTGTACTTGCACTAGTACTTACTGTGGCTGAAACAAATATTTGTGTTGCAGACAGAAAACACATCTCAATATACATGGCGGATAGATCTAGGCAAAACTGAAAAATTCTGGAAAGGTATATATATATATTATGTTAAATAGTAAAATGTCTAGTTTTATTGTTCTCTGTCTATATGTATACATTCATCTGCAATGTACTTGTTATGAAATAAATTATGTTAATTCATTCACCCCTGAAATTTCATAATGGACTTTTCCAACCTTTGAGTTCGAAGAGTTCAAATGTGTCTTCAGGAGTGTATGAGTTCAGAGTCTGTAATAATCATAAAAAATCTAGTTAATACACTTATTATGGGTATTATTTTTCATACATAAAAAAAACATTAATTATTATTCTGTATGAAACTGCTATTACTGTATTAGATTGATTTCTTGTTGCTCTGCTATTAATTCTCAATGAATTTTGTTGTTTTCATTTAAAACATAATTCTATCATTAGGGTGGTTTCAAGGCCTTTCTCAGCGGTTTTTATCCTGTGAAGTTCCTAAAATGTTGGTTCTTGCAGGTAAGTTGAATGAGAAGGATTCTATCAATAGTATACCCCCCAGGAACTGCATTGAATCCTTCCACAGATGTATAGATAACATCAGTTCATGGGCATTACAATTTGCAGTCAGATGTATGTTAGGTTTTGATAGGCAATTGATGATGTCAACTGGAGATTTCAATAAATTTTACAAGTATTTAATGATTTTTAGTGTGGGTCTCATTACTTTTCCTTTACATATTTTAATGACGTAATTTAACTAGTTCATTGGTTATTAATGAAAACTTAATGAATTTTTAAGGGAAAATAATCATTAATGATTCATGCCTGCAGTAGTGAATGTCACAATAGTGTATCATACCAATGAAAACTTACCAAATTGTAGATAATCTGCAATGTAATTTCACTGCAGTTTCTTACATTAGGCCACAACCACATAGTTTGTTTTTGTCCTGAAAAAATGGCATGCAAAGTTGGCCAAAACCTATAAACACAAGTAAAGATATCTTCTTCATTGTGTATAAAATTTGTGTAAAGATGCGTATCTGTTTGGTAGGCTGGAACATTTTGAATCTCATTGTATCAATGAATTCATTGAAGACAGGTAGATGAAGGATATTTCCCACAAAGACTTACCTAGACTTTCTTTATACTATTTTTTTTCCAGCTATTATGCACACTGTCCTTTGTTCAAGTGTTTTGAAAATAACTTCACTTTTTTCATTCGAACAGGTGTCGACAGACTAGATAAGGATTTAACTATTGGTCAAATGCAAGGTAGGCATTTTGAAGTAAAACTGATTCATAACTGTTATTATTGATTGATTGGTTGTACTTTTCATGTTAAATGATTTGAATTGACTGAACATACTTAGCAATGTTATATATCTTGCATACTTATATATATGTGCCGGTATTACACTTGTTAAGCCACCTCATGACCCGCATCCTGGACATATGGAATATGAATTGCTTGACCATGAAAACACTTGATGTCATCTCTTAATTTGTATAAATACTCTATGCCGGGAAACTTTCGCCCCGTTAAACTTTCGCCCTTCACCGACAGAGTCCTTATTCGCCCAGTGTTAAACTCACCCTACACCGCCAACAGCAGAACACACTGGACCCCAATTGCATCACATACGGTATCTGGTTTGAGCCTCAGTGTAGACAAAATAGTGACAAAACATGTGCGGTCGTATACGTAATTTCTTTTTAAACTTTCGCCGTCATGTTAAATTTGCCCTCAGATCGGAAGGCGAAAGGCGCAAAAGTTAAACTGCGGCGAAAGTATTCATGTTGTCCTGTTGTTTGTATTTCATCTTTTCTCCATGTTCCTCTCTTCTTTGTACCTCTGATGCAAATAGGAGAAAGACGTTTATACTCGTTAAAGCAGGGATATTTTTGCTTCAGGATATATACATCAAGCACTTGACACTTAACAAGCACTACTTCGATGTGCTTCCAAACTTGTTTTACCACCAAAGTCTCCTTGGACAGAAGATGGCAGTTTTCCTAGTTACACTGTACAATGTATTCCCTCTGGACACACCAGTAACTAAAACGAATGTGTCTTTTTTTTTTATTGTAAACTGTGGGAAAATATACAAATTTACCAAATATACAAGATTTATGGGGAATAAACACATTATATAAATTAATTTACTTTTGAATGTTTACACCTTGTTACATGTAAATGGTATTTTCAGGTAAATTTCAGATGCAGGTTTTACCTCAGAGTGGCCATGCTGTCCATGAAGATGTTCCAGATAAGGTATATACAATACTTACGGTCAGATAGCTGTGATGGTATCATTCTTACGTGATATTTTCATAAATTCAAGTCCGAAGCTCACTATCTTGAATTCATAATGGTTGATGACGATGATTTTCAAATATTGCTTCAAATATAAATATTTTTTCCAAGAGTGAGAAGAAAGTCAGTTTCCTGCTCACTTTGTTTCTATAAAAACCGTCTTGAACGTGAGGCATATCATGTAGTTATATAATATGTATATCTGTAATTACAATTTTGCCATTGATGCAAAATATTTCAAATCATAAATTTCTTTTTTCACAGGTAGCAGATATTTTGGCAACTTTTATGGTGAGACATAAAGTTGCTGAACCTAGAGACAGTTTTCAAAGGTATTTGAATTAATTAAAAACCTACTTTGAATGCATGTATTTAAATTGATTTTGAGTTCTGAAGTGAATATCAGTGTACATGTATTAGAAAACAGAGGGACTGAAATATTTTGTTCATTATTTAACAGAGTATTAATTATACTCTGTTATAATAAGTGAATTGTGTTTGAAAATAAATTGAGCTAGACAAGTTAGTTACAAGCATCATCTCTGGCAACCAAAAGGCATACTGGCTAGCTGGCTGGTACTTCGCTTGATAAGAATAGATGTAACACAGGTGGGCTACCACAATCTTGTATGCCCATCATGTTTAGTGTTTTCCAAGTGCTGCATGCATTTTCAAAGTACAGTTCACTCCAAAGTAGACAAAGTGTCGCTAATTATAGTAGCAACCAATTTTCTCGATGTTCCATAAGTTGTCAATGGCTAAAATGCCACAGGTAGAATGACGTGGCACCATTATCAGCTTAGTTGTTGAAGCAAGGGGATTAACTCCCATATATTTAGCAGGCCCATAACTTGGGGCCTGTTCGTTTATGCGGAACAACCGTTTTGACCGTTTATAAATATAACAATTTCGGGTATAAATCCTGGCGGACCTGCAAATGTTTATGCAGGCCTTGCAACGCTTTGTCAAGGCTCGCCTGAATGCAGCATCAGATTACTAGGTCCGACCTTATCGGATAAACGAACAATTGTGGTCCGACCGGTTTGACCTTTTAAATGAAAACGGCCTTATTTAGTTCATATCTATTAAAATTGGACCCAAGGTCATGTAACTTTTAATTTATGAGCAAGGAGGATATCAGATCTCAAAGTGTTTTCATCACTCACTAGATTGTCCATTCTAGTAGTTGCAAGGTTAATATGATGTTATCTAAAAATGTATTTAACCCTTTCACCCCTATGTAACTTAAGTAGACTCTACCTTGCATTGATCTAGATGAGTTCATTATGGTCTACAGTGGTGAAAGGGTTAAGGTATAGGTACCTTCTTGATGACTCCATTGAAACAGGTTTTATAGGAGAATCGGCAAACAATTGTGATATTAGTTTTTGTAATAATAAACTTTTTGCATAAAGCCAATTATATATTCTATAAAAGACAGTTTAATCAAGAAATAAGATATAAACTGAGATTTTGAACTTATATTTTGATGAAGTTAATACTTAATTAATCAGATTTAATTAATGTAGCACAATGAAGTTCTTAGCTCATAGCTTATACATTATTGGACTTGGTGACTGCATAGAAACACTAGAAAAATGACAATGGGAAGTAAATTTTAAAATTTCTAGTGTTGACAAGAAAAAAGAAAAAAAGAGTTGTGGGTAATAGTGATTGCAAAAAAGTGTCTTGCTGGCTTTCTATGTACATGTTATTAAATCTGGAATAGCCCTTTATAGTAGCAATGACAGGTTCTTTGAAAACGTTATTGATTGTATTTAATTTCTTTGAAGAAAAAAACCCAAGATTTATGAAAGTTGTGCCAAATTCAGACAATGTGATAATACCAGAGTTAATTTAATGTTTAAAGCTTTATTCTTCCTTTCAGAAATAAGATGTAAAATTGTTTATATATTGTCCTGTGTTTCTGTTATGTTTCTCTGTTACAGGTCCTTCCCAGCCTGTTGATGTTCACCCATGTCCATTTACTTCTTGGAACTTGTACTCTTAGGGTTGTGTACAGGACTTGCATTACCCATTGTCCGACAGTCCTATTCAACTTTTGAAGGATAGAGTGTTCGCTATGCAGACTGATCTGCTGACCCCTGAGTCTGAATACTGCTGTATAATGCTGTATCCTCCGGCCACACTATGGGGTCAGGAGGTATTGCCGATTGCCCTACTTCAGGAAGTGTTGCTGTCTTTTCCTACTACAGTGTTGTTGCAGGAAGTATTGCCGATCCTTCTTCTTCAAGAAGTGTTGCTGTACCTTCCTACCAGTGTTGTTACAGGAAGTATTGCCGATCCTTCTTCTTCAAGAAGTGTTGCTGTCTTTTCCTACTACAGTGTTGTTACAGGAAGTATTGCCGATCCTTCTTCTTCAAGAAGTGTTGCTGTCTTTTCCTACTACAGCGTTGTTACAGGAAGTATAGCCGATCCTTCTTCTTCATGAAGTGTTGCTGTACCTTGCTACTAGTGTTGTTACAGGAAGTATTGCCGATCCTTCTTCTTCAAGAACTATTGCTGTACAATGTACCTTCCTACTAGTGTTGTTACAGGAAGTATTGCCGATCCTTCTTCATCAAGAAGTGTTGCTGTCTCTTCCTAGTAGTGTTGTTACAGAAAGTATTGCCGATCTTTCTTCATCAAGAAGTGTTGCTGTACCTTCCTACTAGTGTTGTTACAGGAAGTATTGTAGACAGAAAGAAGAACCATCTCTTGGTTTTTTCAGAGAATTTGTTCTTTTTACTGAGGAAAGAACTTGTAATTATATAAGTAAGATACTTATATATAAGAGAATAAGTCCTGATCTTTTTTACTTAAGATTCAGTGCAGTGGAATGCTTTTTTGCAACATTTTGTCAACATTTTTTTTGTGTTCAGCATGTAGTGATGCATGTGATTGAACAGAGAATTTGGAGAATCAGCAACTTTCTTTTTAAGCATTACAACAATTTGATATGTATGAGTCAAATGTCAGTATGTACTATGTCATTTCGGAAGTCACTGATATTGAAAGGAGACCAAAGGATGTTAATTGAAGACTTCATTTAATTTCCCAGCTATTTTAAGAAACTGCCGGGGTTGGGGCCCCAGGTTCAGTCCCTTTACACACAGGTGTACAAAAGGGCGTCCAGTTTTACCTAACCCCAATTTTTATGTTTGACCATAAATTATCTCAAATAAATGTTTCGTGTGTACTTGGTGCAAAAATTTGTATACAGAAATTAAAATTCTGGACATTTCACGTACAAAAACGGTTGACTTCAAAATCCCGTTAGTGACAACAGTTAACCATGCACGCACTTAACTAAACTATTTTATTTATCTCAACACCTAATATGAGAAGTGTCACATCATATTGGTTTGAGTGAAAGAAAGACTGGTGACCAGTAACAGTAGTGAGATAGATCAGGGATCAGTCTAAAAGCCATGTCACATAATAGCTAGGTGGATTTTTTGTCTGAACATTATAACAACTGTGTCATTATCTGGTTGCAATTGTCATCTAGTTGTACCAACATACACTGGAAGTGCTAGGCGAAGTGTCGACGATGTGTCGACGAAGTGTCGACGATGAACCTCAGCAAGAGGAATGAACTATTTTTTCTTCAAAAGAAATTATAAACTCCGCAGTATTTGTGATTCCTGTACTATTTCATACTGGCTAAATATGATACAGTACTGATAAATCGCTTTGATAAGATTTTTTTTTATATTCCATGTTAATAATAATAAAAATAATTTGAGGTTCTTATATACCGCTTTTTCACAACCTAGTTCGTAGGTCGTCTCAAAGCTGTTCACAAATTATTATCCGTGGTTATAGGGCCTTTGCAACCAGCCAATACCTTTCTCAACTCCCTGGGAAGCATAAAGCCGGAGCTGCCATTTAGGCGGTTACAGTTAGCAATTCAACAATTCTAGCACTGCCCAACCACGTACTCATTTACAGCTGAGTAGACTGAAACAAGCGGAGTAAAGTATCTTGCTCAAAGATACATCACACTGCCGTGTCGTGACTCGAACGCGCAACCCTTCGGTCACGAGCCCGGCGTCCTACCACTAGACTACCGTGCCGACTTTGTTACTTGTATTTCTATTGTAACAGTACTTCTCACATAAGTTATATTAGCATTATATTACGTTTAAATGAAACTCAAATGATGTCTTATTTATTAAGCTGTGTAAAGATCGATGTGTATTTATAAAATGTCATGATTTACAAAATGTTCAAAAAACTAAATGCTTGGAGCAATCTTATTGATAATTTGCTCCCAATCTAGTACTTTAAAAGATGATTTGTTCAGATAATTCAGTATGCGAGTTCCTGATGTTTATTCATCAGGTAATTTGATGGTACAAATTGCATTTTTATCTTTTTGATTATCAATAATTTGTAACGATATTATATGTGCGGTCAATAAAACATTGACATGTAATTTTGCAGTTGTTATTACTCCACTCATAGTCCATCTGTTGCATAAACCATTTATCTGGAATATTTAATAGGTGGGAATTTTTTAACAATTGAAAACCGAGGAGTCTACTGACAGAATGTATCAGCTGTCTGTGATAGTAAGAACGATTTTGGTGGATCAATCAAGAACCCATTTATTGATACATTTGAGATATGTGTTGTGATATAACAAATCTTTGCTGTCAGCACCTCAGAACTTGCGGCGAAATTATATTACGTTGACGTCGGTGTCGGAGAATTCCACATTTTCATCTAGGCTATAGTCTTATGCGCTCTGGCCACACACCAAACATATTTCTGTCAAAAATGTGTCAAATCTGGGGCCAGGGGCAAGAGGAAACTCGGGATATACTTCAGTAACGACACATCGCCTACCATCCTCGATATCCAGATGTTACGGTCACCTTCGCTCTCTGCACCCCGGAATATGTCATGGCAAAATTGAAGGCTCGGTGTGTGTCACCTTATTAATGAGACAAGGAGACTAGTTTGATCCTTAAATATGCTTCAAAAGAATTTCGCGGTCGGTACCGGTAAAAATTGACAGGCTTTGAAGTCGGGCGTCTCTCCTTTGTAATCTTCAAAGGACAGGTATCCGCCTAGCGATTGGTCATTTTTTTTCACCTGAGACCAATAAAACAGCTATCTTCGTGCCTTCAATTTTGCTATGACATATTCCAGGGGTGTAGAGAGCGAATGTGAGCGTAACCCCTTGCTATCGAGGATGATCGCCTACAGGTTATTTGTTTGACGAAAATTAAACGGTTAATGTGACCGTACACTGTCCACTATGCATGCAATTGAGTTTTTTTACAATCGTTATTGAATCACAGTGGTTCATTACAAATGTCTGAAATACACATATATGCTATATACTGATACGTGACCCATATCAGTATAGCATAATTATGTGTATTTCAGACATTTGTAACAAACCCCTGTGGCTGAAAACATAACGGGGATTGTTTTTCCAGATCTTTTACTTTGATTCGTAATATATAGGTACCGTACAGATTTAAGCTTTAACATTTGACAGTTTAATCCACAGGCACTAGCCTCGTCTGTCAATACACCCACTGCGTGTGTAGGGAACACCAAATTAACAAATATTCAATTCACTAAAAATTGTACCTATCTTCAAAAAGAAGATAGGTACAATCAATTGAAGATAGGTACAATTCAATTGAAGATAGGTTCAATTCAATTGTACCTATCTTTAAGTAATTAAAGATAGGTACACATGTACAGTTATTTGTACCTATCTCCAATTGAATTGTTCATATCTTCAATTGAATTGAACTTATCTTCAGTTGAATTGTGCATATCTCCAATTGAATTGAACCTATCTTCAATTGAATTGTGCATATCTCCAATTGAATTGAACCTATCTTCAGTTGAATTGTATCTATCTTAATTTGAATTGTGCATATCGCCAATTGAACTGTGCATATCTCCAATTCAATTGTACCTATCTTAAATTGAATTGAACCTTTCTTCAATTGAATTGTTCATATCTCCAATTGAATGGTACCTATCTTCAATTAAATTGTACCTATCTTAATTTGAATTGTGCATATATCCAATTGAATTGTACCTATCTACAATTGAATTGAACCTTTCTTCAATTGAATTGAAACCCTATCTTCAACTGTACTGTACCTATCTTCAATTGAATTGTGCATAACTCCAATTGAATTGTGCATATCTCCAATTGAATTGTACCTATCTCCAATTGAATTGAACCTATCTTCAGTTGAATTGTACCTATCTTAATTTGAATTGTGCATATCTTCAATTAAGGTGCAATTATTTTGGCGTTCCATATGTGTGAATACCATATATTCCCACATGGTTATATAAACTCTACCGAATGTTCCGTTAAAACTGTTTAAAATATTTAGTATTGTTTTAAATAAGAGTAGAGATATGTAACAGGAGAAAGAGAATGCAACGGTCAGACAGGGTGTTTGAACCCAGGACCCTCTGAACTCTTGACGGACGCTCTACCAATTGAACTGCCTGGTCGCTGACTATCAACTCAGTCCAGTTCTGCTACATTCTACCTCCCTTCTGTTTCTAAGTCTTCTCCCCCGAAAACACTACTATTTACACCTCAGGTTCGGATATATTTTCTCCTTGCTAAGCATTCACCCAGTGCTTGAAACAAGAGTTGGCAAGCTTGCTGATTGTGTAACAGAACGAGAAATACAACAGCCGGACTGAGGTTCAAACCCAGGACCCTCCGAACTCTTAGATGGATGTTCTATCAATTGAGCTACCTGGTCATTGTTTGACCCAGTCCAGTTCCGCTAACATTTTCTATTATTAGTTTTCTGGTATTTTACAATGACAGTCAAAATTCTTTTGAAAATATCCATACAATTTATTCCTGACTCATATAGCTTAATTTTTAGCTCACCTGGCCCGAAGGGCCAAGTGAGCTTATGGCATGGTGCGGCGTCCGGCGTCTGGTGTCCGGCGTCCGTCCATCGTCCGGCGTCCGGTGTCAACTTTTTACTTTAAACAACTTCTTTTCAGTAACAAAAAGGCCTAGAGTGATGATATTTGGCCAAAAGCATGCTGGGATGAAGGGCTACCAAGTTTGTTCAAATAAATGACCTTCATCAATTTTCAAGGTCACAGGGGTCAAATATGTTAAAATCTTTAAGCAACATCTTCTGAATAACCGAGAGGCCTAGGGTGATGATATTTAGCCACTAACATGCTGGGGTGAAATGCTACCACGTTTGTTCAAATAAATGACCTTGACTTATATTCACAGTCACAGGGGTCAAATATGTTTTAAACCTTTACACAACTTCTTCTGGATAACCGAGAGGCCTAGGGTGCTTAAATTTGTCCATTTACATGCTGGGATGAAGGGCTACCAAGTTTGTTCAAATAAATAACC